GTTTGTTCTAGGCGATCGAAATAAGAAGACTTTTTGTCAAGACAGGAGTATAAAGTTGAATCATCAGCAAAAAAAGCTACTTTAGATGAAAGGTTGTCAGGAAGATTGTTTATGTAGATAAGAAACAAAACAGGGCCCAGGATGGAACCTTGGGGAACCCCAGAAGTTACTGGAAATAAAGAAGAGTGTTGGCCTTTAAAGATGACTTTAATAAACCGGTTAGAAAAAAATGATTTGATAATCTCAAAAACTTTCCCAGAAACACCATATGAAGCAAGCTTATGGAGAAGACCAGCATGCCAAATTTTGTCAAAAGCTTTAGATATGTCGAAAGCAATAGCCCTAGCCTCACCGTCCCAATGTAATGCATGATAAAATCTTTCGGTTACAGCAGTTAGCAAGTCGGCCATAGAGCGAGAAGATCGAAAACCGTATTGATTGTCTGACAATAGTTTATTTGACTCAATATGAGATGTAAGGAATTTGTTGATCAAAGACTCAAAGACCTTGCTAATAACAAAAAGAAGACTGATCGGACGATAATTGGAGTGGTCAGAATTTTCTCTAGAGTTTTTGAATATTGGAATCACAGATGTCATTTTCCAATAAGCAGACTCAGTCAAACACTTGTTAAATAGTTTAGACACAAGCTGTAGACGAGTTTAATTGAGGTATGACTTTAGCAACAGAAGCCGGAGTGATTTGAATGTCTAACAATGGATCAACCTGTTTGACTGGAATGGAAAGAAGAGAATGTTCATAAGATTCAAGAGTGGAATTAAAAGAAAAGTTCTTTGCAAATAGTTCTGCCTTATCCTTGGGAGAGGTAATAAGATCAGTCCCATGAATGAGAGATAGAATGTTAGATCTACCCTTGTTAATAATGCTGTTGAAAATTTTTCAAAAGTCTTTAGAGCCTAACTTCTGTGATAAGATGAGAGATTTAGTGAACTGAGAATAATGGAGTTTAGCATCAGAAAGCACCTTTTTACATCAATTTTTTGCAATAATAAATAGCCGTTTGTTCTCAAGAGAGTTGTTCTTTTGAAAAAGATGAAAAAAAATGATTACGATTGGATATAGCAGCCGCACAAGAAGGAGAAAACCATAGAGTAGAATGAGGCTTGCCTTAAAACTGACGAGAAGGAATAAAAGCTTCCATTCCAGACTGAATCCAGGAAGTTGTGTAGGAGGCGCATTTATCAGCTGAGAGAGAAAAAACATCAGCCCAAGGACCATCACGAAGAAAATCATGAAAAGAATCCCAGTCAGCTTTAGGGTAGTAGTAGGTGGTGCGATTATAAGGTGAGCCCAAAAAAGAAGTACGAGATGAAAGATTTATAGAGATCATTGCATGTTCAGAACCACCTAAGGGAGAAATGGGAGAAACTGTACATAAGCTAGGGTCAGAGACAAGACATAAGTCAAGGAGTAAAGGTAAATGATTAGGGTTGTCAGGAAAACGAGTCACAAATTTAACTATCTGAGTAAGAGATTGAGAAACGCAGAAGTTAAAGGCTTTAGTGCCAGCAAGATCAGTGGTGTTAGAGCCAAGTCATTCAGTGTGATGGGCATTAAAATCACCAACAACAACAATATTGGCAGAGGGGTAAAGAGAGAGGTTATGGTCAATTTGATCAGAGATAAAATCAAAAAAAGTGTACAATCATGGGAAGAAGGAGAATGATAAAAAACAAAGAGAAAGGTGATAGAGTGAAGAGGTGCTAGGCGAAAGCACATAAAAGAAAGGTCAAAGGATTCGAACCTGATTTCACGACAAATAGGGGAATTAATGCGTATGTATACTTCTAAACCTAGCATGTGATTATTAAAGTCTTTACGAATCAAAGGATAGTATCCATCAACACTGACATCTGAAGAAGAAATTGCAGAATTTAAATTTGTTTCCCTGAGTGCAAGCAAGTCTGGTTAATTTTGCAGGAGGTAACACTCAACTGACGGAAAGTTGCTTCGCAGACCGCGAATATTTGTAAAAGATATATTAAAACATTTAGGTGGTGGGGATGGTTTTTTAGGTTTAAATCGATCATGATCCTAGTTCTTTATTTTACGCGCAGTCATGTAGCTGTTTTTAGCTCAGTCGCGAAAGGGTTAAAACCAATGTATTTTCAGTTTTTTCATTCCGGCCATATTTATGCAAAAAAAAAGTTGTTTAAGTTGATTTAAAAACCGAGTTGCATATATTTTAAATATTTATAAATATTTCACTTAAAAACGTTAATATTCGACATTTTTAATTTCAAAGTTTACGATCTTTTAGAAAATCTTTTTAAATTTATGCAACTCGGTTTTTATTGGGGTCAAAATAAGTATTTTTTTAAATTAAATTGAATTTTTTTATGATTATATATTTTTTAATTGATTTTAAAATTTTTTTTTTAAGAAATTGCTTTTTAGATGTACATACATCGACTGTCAAATAGTGATTAACGCAGTTAAGTGCTCATACATCGACTAACAAATAGAGATTGGCGCAAATAAATGTACATAATTTGAGTCAGCGTTAGCGTTAGAATCAGAAATTGACGCGTTATGCATTTTTAAACAGTTTTGCTTTAAATAATCGATAGAAACCAGGTTTTTAAAAGTTAGCTTTTTTCAGTAAGTCAGCGTTTTTAAAAGTTGTCATAACCGAATATAAAAAAGATGGAGAATATTGGCGTTTTAGTGTAGTTTTTTAAACTTCAATATTGAATTAGAGTACATCCTTTTGATTTTCAGACGTATTTTTTATACGGCTTTTAATCAGCATATAATTTTCTACCACAATCAACAATAAAAAAGGGAGGGTGGGAGAAACTGCAGTAGTGCCAAAAATTTGTCCCGGTGTTTTGATGTCTTTAGAATTTTTAAATTTTATAAAAATCTATTTGTTTGTTATAGTGTATAGTATCTTAATATCATATCTATAAAACTTCAAAAGTGTTTATTTTTGTATTTTAAAAAAATCGTAAAAAAATTACAAAATAAAAGGTGCCAGTAGTAGAATTCGAACCATGACACTTTCGTTAAGAAGCTCTGCAAGCTAACCACTCGGCCTCGCTGGCATGTTGACTAATGAAATTTTTAAAACAATATAATAAATAAAAGACTTATAAAATGGAAATAAATGAAGGGAGCATAAGAAAAATATTTTTTAGGAATATAAATCATACATGCTGCATTGAATCCTGGAATGAGTGTCCCTTTTGGACATCACTAGTTTTCCCTTGTAATTCTAGACTTGGATTTAGAATCTAAAATAACGTTCAATATGTTGCTTATAATATATTCAAATACATTTCTATTGAGTTGAATTTAAAATCTTTTTAATTTTGAACAATAGCCACAGTCAGAAAAAGAAAAAACGAAAGAAACCTTTACGCTTTAGATTTACACCACATACCGCTAATTAGTTATTCTATAAGTTTTTCAGTAATACGCCTAAAAAATCTATATTTATTTAGTTATTTCTTATTTCAACAAACTTTTTTATCCTCAACCCTTTTAACCATTTGCCACCCTGAGACTAGCTTTCTCAACTTTGACTCGTAGATTAACAAAAATAAGAAAAATTTAAACTTAGAAATAAACTTAAAAATAAGAAAAGTACATTTGTGGAAAGTAAAGAAATCAATTTAATAGTGAAATTTTTTTTGAGGTTAAAATTTCTAAACTCACTATTTTATTATATAATTATTTTTTTTAAATTTTTTAAACAATAAAAACCAAGAATTCAAAATAAATTTCTTTTTTTCCTTTATTCTATATCTGTTTTCAATTTAAATACACTCAAGTTTAGAAAACATAGATCAAAATTAAGGAGATATTACCGTAACGCAGTTTTCAAGCGATAGCAAAACTGTATTGACTTGATATATGTTTTAGTATGTTTTAACATTACATAATTCAAATTTTACGTAAGTTAGATATTTGCGTACACTTTCGTTCATGTTTCCTTATTAAAAAAAAGTGCTGCGACTCCTACTCGCAATTACTTCGATACAATGGCTGCCAAGAGGTCTGTATCAAACACGCTTGAAAGGATACAATTAACACGGCAATAATATATAGAGATACAAAAATTCAAAACAAAACAGTTTAAGCAAAAAAGACTTGTAATTAGTAACGGATCCTGCATTTTTTGGTGTTTGAGACTAACTTCCAGACATGGAGCGAACTGCAAAGATATACGTATGTCAAATAATGATGCTTTGCAAAAAATTGCGATGATTGGAGGCTGGGAACAAAAAGAACTTAAACTTTTGATTCAAATTGTCTCTGCAAAAAGTGTTATTAGTTGTGGTTTTATAAAAAATTACAAAAACTACAATTGAGAATAACTGAATAAATGATTTTGTATATCTATTATTAGCAGTTTAGAAATGAAATATTTCTTAAAAGGTTGTTGTTTATTTCAATATAAAAAAAATTTTGCTACAACGTGACATCTTGGGAGAAAGTTTTGCCATTATATTTATATTATAATCAATTATAATCCACATCATGACATATATTAGTATCAAATCATGACATCCAAATCATGACATATATTAGTATCAAATCATGACATCCACATCATGACATATATTAGTATCAAATAGAATATTCTTGCTTTTTAAATAATTTTTATCCATAATTTCCTAAGCTGTACGAGAGGAATAAAGTAAAATACAACATTGACTGGAAGTGTTGAAAGGATAAAGTATTATAGACATCACATATTTATAAATTTTTTTCTTGGCATTACAATCAGTGAACATTGAAATAATGTAGAGTTCTTGCCACATACCATAAAGTGCTAACATCTGATTTTTACATAACAAACGTTAGTTTAGACTTTTTAAATAATAAAAATATCATATAAAAAATATATAGCTGTCAAAATCCCAAAGTGTTTTATAAATACAGAAGTTTTTGTGAAATGTTTCAAAATAGTTTTATGAAAATTTTTTTGAAGCTGTTGTTTATCTTTAATAAAAATCGTAAATTGTTTTTAGTGGTCTGCTTGTTATCAATTTTGTTTTTCAATTTCTTTGGAATGTCAGTTACTCGTTCATTAACAGGTATTTTATTTATTTATAATTTTTTTTTTCAATAAAAAGTTTAAAATTAACATTTTGAAATCAAATTTGTTATTTCAAAACTCTCATTTTGTTATTTTGTAGCTGTGCATCGAACATTTCTTGACGCATGTCGCTCAGTTATTGTTTGGTTATGCAGTATTATAATATACTATTCGACAAATCAGGTTTGTTATTTTAATTATAAAGCACAGCATTTTGTTACTACTTTTTTTAATTTCTTGTTTTTAAAATTGTAAAGAGAATAAAAACTCCTCCTACACTTATGCATTTTTGTTTTTTAACAAATTTAATTTAAAATGACACTGTATTATGTAATCTTTTGCATTTTATTATGATCTATAGACTTGCTCAAGTTTTTTTTAGAAATATGGTGAGAAGTTTGACGATAAATGGGGTCTACTTCAGAGTAAGCTTTACTTCTTGTGTTTTAATTTATATCAAATATTAAATCCAGTGTTTTTTTATTATATTGGTCTATAAAGAAGTTTTTCGTTTTTCAAACTTTTTTTTGTTAGTAAACTGCAGATGCATCTGACGCAAGCGCAACTAAAGCTTTTTTTTAAATAAAAATAGGATTTTCTATTTTTAACTAAAAAATCTTATTTACTTGTATGTGTTAAGAAACAGGCAACCGAAATCTTTGTTAATCATGCATTTGATTTAAATATTATTGCTGAATACACAATTTTTAATTTTGATAGGAAATTGTGTTTTTGTTTTAGTTAATGTAATTTGTTTTTGACCTTTTTTACTTTATTTTAATGAATATTAGAATCAATTGATTTTTAAGTAAATAATTCGATATCTGTAGATCGAACGTAAATTTAAATAGGGGAGAGTGGTGTACCTCGAATGTGTTTCCAAATTTTGACATAGATATAAAAAAAATACTTAAAAATATAAGTTCTGTAAAAATATTGTTTTCTTTAACTTAATTATGTTAAATTTTTTTTTTGTTGTTAAACATCCTGATATTTATTTACCCATTATTTAGCTTTTAAATAATAGTTTACACTACAGCTAAGGTACATTCTCAGCTTTTTTTAATTTTTTTTCGTGGTTGAGCTTTAGGGTAGGACAAAACATCTTTGGAGACACAATGTTAGTGCTCATCTGGTTTGTAAATGAAGCCGGACTGCGTTCACCCAAGTATCAATTGAGGTACCAGGCCTGCTCAAAAAGTTTTTAATGCTCCGATTTGTTGTCATCTGGCACAGGCATCCGTCGATTGGTTACAGTTGTAGTAGGAACTCATAATCTTTGAAAATTTCTTCTTTGAGTCGATGGAAAGGCACTCACTTAAATACTGTGCGATATTTGGACAAAATATTGCACAGTTTTCAAGTGAGTGATATTTTGTCGTGGTATATGTTGTTGCTTTTTTCCCTTACTTGATTAATTTTCAAAATCCAATTCTTCATTTTATTGTTTCCTTGCACCTTTACCAAATGTTTCATAAAATCTAGAAACAAACTCTTATTCTACTATTCCGATAGGTTTGCTCTGTCAATAGACATCTCCTTTGCTCTGTCAATAGACATCTCCTTTGCTCTGTCAATAGACATCTCCTTTGCTCTGTCAATAGACATCTCCTTTGCTCTGTCAATAGCTCCTTTTAGCATAAAATTCTTTTATTTTTTACGAGAGAAAATCAAGTTTAGTGACATACAGCCGCCTTTTGCGTTTATTGTACCAGATATTGTTATAATATACCTTCATTAACTGCTAGTCATGCCATCTACCTTATTGTGAGCTTTTTTTTTGCTAAGATTTTAGGATGATTATGGACAGTGAAGACATTGATTTTACCAACATATAATGACAATTTACCAAGTTTTGTACATCTTGTAAAATCAGTTCATATGGAATATTAGCAGCGTTTAAAGTGTATTCAGCTACAATTTTATCTTATTCTACAGTGAAAACTTTCTTCATTGTTTTTTTTTTTGTTACAATATTTTTCTGCAACTGATTCAACAAATTAATTTCTATGTTTTCTTAAGGTTGTTTTAAGAATGCAAAAATTATTAAAAGCTTTGAACAATGAAGTGTTTTTTGTGAAGGCCTTCTCTTAAATCCAGTTTTACTTCTAAATGTAAGGCCAACACAATTTTTATAGCATAATCTCAAAAGGCCTTACAGTACTTACTTATTTTTTAATACTAAGCTCAAATAATTATTCTTATGTTTTTTATTATTGAAACTGGTTAACTCTTCACCATATATTCATAGGTTAAGAGTCAATCAGTTTTAAGCATGTGAAAATGTGAGTCTCTAGTAGCTATTACATGCAACTAATGTTTACTTAACAAAATAAAAAAAAAACACAGAAAGAATGGTATGTATTATGTTATTATTTACAATAAACTTATTGTGAAAAACTTTAGAAGCAAATCAGCGCTTAAACATATTTTCTATTTTAAACTATTAAGTAAACAAATTTACACTTAGTCAACAAAACAATTAGATTGTTATTTTTTATTTTTTGCTTCTATACGTACTAATAAATCAAATCAAAAGTTTGATCAAAAGCCAAAACATTGAGATAAAACTATTTCAAAATAAAAAGTCATTATTAAATAAAGATTCTGAGTGCGGGTCCACAAAACGTTTTTAAACGTAAGTTTAGCGTAAGTTCTAAACTTACTTATTTCGTTTTCACAAAATTTTTAAAAAATAAATCGCAAAACTTGCAATTTTTTTTGCGTAAATTTAACTCTTAAACTATGCTATTTACATAGTCTGTTACTGACACATGTGTATCGGGGCCTGGGGCAGGCAGCTTACAATGTAATTACATTAATATAAATAAAAAACAAAGGCTTTCTAGCTTTCTTACGAAAAAGTTGAATATAATCGTTGGGTAAATGCTATACGAGACAATATACCTGACAGTCCAGATACAGTTGTTTGCAAAAGACATTTTGCATCTAGATAACCAACAGTAACCAAATATGGCCATAAAAGGCCTTATGATCCTCTATCAGATTTCACATTTGTTAAACCTAGTTTAATACCTACTCTTTCACCGCCATTAAGAACAACCTAAAAATCAACTTTATCTGCCCGTAACATTATGCTGATATATTTTTAGCAGCTGATAAAATTACATGTGTTAGCTCATTACATCAGAAGTTACAAAAAAAAAAGAAAATGATTTTGTTGTAATTTATGAAACTTGGTATTTAAGTGGTGAACAGTTTTTTTTTTGCTGGTGTTTTTTTTTCGTTCTTCACTTAAACATTTTAGTAAGTCGTTGCACAATAAAATCGTTAACATTTAAATAATAAAATTATATAATAAGAACTAAGAAAAAGATAATATAGCTATACAGGTATAGTATACAATTTTATAAAAAGAATACAATTTTATAAAAAGCGAAGACTTGCAGAAGACCGTCAGGTCTAGTCATTGAAAACCGCTCGTAATTTACAACTTCAATAAATCATAATCAAATATAGATGTATATCTCTATAAAAGCTTGACAGCATAAATACATCAAATAAAACATGAAATTATTAAACGTTTAAAAACATATTCCTCCGAGATACTTCACTCTCCCCTTTGTTCAAAACTGAAAATATGATAAGTAAAAAATTTTGATAGGATTTGTTTATTAGATTTAGTTTACAAAAGTGCTCCGTTAATTCGCTCGTCCATTTTTTCCCGCCAACAAACAACAATTATGCCTTTTTAATTTTAATTTAGTAAGACACCAATTTTAAATCCTGAAAAATAAGTATACAAAATAGATATCAAAATAGATCATCATTTTAAAACATCACTTTTAGTTGATGGGTTTCTACTTTTGATAATTGGAACTGCAATATACTACCAGCTGTTTGATTTCTCATGGTTACCGTGCATAAAAAGAACAGAATATAAAATACACCATAACGAAGAACATCGAAAGGTTTGAAAAAAATTTTAATGTGTACAAAGTTGCAATTTTTTCTTTATTAAATATCAAATTAAATTTTTATATAATTTCAGGTAGTTACTGACAATTATGAAAAACGCAATGCAGCGGATAATGAAATTAACGAACACGAAGAAATAAGTCCAATTTACCACGGCTTCTTAGATGATTAGAATTACCATGGTTATTTGAAACGAACGCGTTTAGATGCGCAAAAGCACGCATACAGACACAAACAAGCATACTTAGCATATTTTGTAATATAGTTTTGAAACATAGTGTTCTGATTTATCTATAAAAACTTTTTTGATTTCTATAAAAGTCATAAATCTCTTTTTTGCTAAGTATTGTATAGAGAAATTTTAATATCAATTTTCTCTAAGTTTTATTAAAATTCCTATAAATCTTATGTTTTGTTTTTATGTTTTATTGTATTAGAGATCAAAAGAATACTGTTCATACATATATACGTACATACATACTTGCATGCAACCATACACACATATATGCATAAATATGTACATACATACATGCATGCATACATACATATATACATATAATCAAAGTTAACTTTATTTAAAAAGATTGATTTTAAATATGTAATTTATTATAAAGTAATACGTTTTATAAAAATTTGTCCACATTAAAACGATGTCGATGAAAACTAATTCAAAGGAAAATTTCTCAAGACTTCTGATTAAAACTGCAATGTCTTTTAATTATTTTTCGAATTTTTTAAAAAAAACTTTAGAGTTTATAAAATTAAAAATATATGCACTGCAACAAAATAATATGCATTTAAGTAAAATGACGGATTCATCATCAGTCAAAAAATATGGCTGGATTCTATGTTTAGTCTAGACAATAGATTCTAGTTAGACTATTCAAACATATGGAAAATAAATGCAAATTTGCAACACTATCCCCAATTGAGAAGAAAGGATGAATTTAAAAAATTTTTAAACAATTTTTTATACTATATGCAATACGTAGAAATAACTCAAAGAATCACATCGCACCACATGCAAAAACGTTGCTAAAATGTACCAGGCACAACTACGAAAACTCTTCAGGGAGTTAAAAAATAACCCTAAGCGCTTACATGCACATATATGAAGCAAACATAAAACTGAGAAAAAGAGAAAATAAATTGTTTTCATTTTATTAAAGTTTAAGCTTATAATAAATTCAAATAAAAATTAAATATATGTAGCTGTTAAGCACGAACTAATTAATAAACGTGCAGCTCATCTTCAGTAAAAGATTGCACTTTTTCCGTAAAAAAAATGCAAACAGTGCAATCTGCAAATGCAAATAGAGTTGACAAAAAAAAAAAATGCTTTTCAACTCTATTCTTAAATTCATTAACTGACGGTGTATTTTTGCATGCTGACGGCAAGTTATTCCAATGATTGATAATACGATTATTCCAATGATTGACAATTATGACAACCAATATTATATGTGAATTCACGCAATAGGACGTTGTATGGTGATCTGCGAAGTAGATCAAGTTGCCACGTTGCCTACGAGATTTCAAAGTAGTAAAATTGAGAAGCCGAAACCTTTCAACCTAAGCTAATTCTATTAAATAATGAGGTACTCTTGTCGCTCTATGCTAATTTTTTTTTCAATTTCTTTGATGTACCTTTTTAGTCTAGATGCGGCCTAACATACGTAGTGTATAGTTTACTCCAAAGCTTCACATCTCTTGATCTAAATGTTTTTTTAAAAGTCAATTATTATATTTGCTTTATGTGCTGCAACCTCTATGTGTTGACCATTTCTCTATGTGTTGACCATTTCTCTCTCAATATCCGCTGCCTCAAGAGTAAATAATGTATTTCCATCATTCATTACATATTCGTGATTACTATTTCCATAGCCAAGTTGCATAACTTTATATTTTGCAACATTCAATTCCATTAGCCATTCCTTTGACCTTTCTGTGACAATGTTTAAATTGTTTTGATGAACTAGACAAACAGTATCGTTCATCTCAGGTCTTTCTTCAGGTCTTATTTCTTGTAATAGTTGTAAGTGTCATCAGCATAGATTTTATGAACTGATTTTATCTTATCCGTTAAGTCGTTTATATAGATGATGAATAATGTTGCACCAAGTACAGAACCTTGAGGAACTCCGCTTAGGACATTGGTCCAGTCGCTAGAGTGTTCACTTAAAACAGTTCGCTGCTTTCTACTAATCAAAAATGACTCAATCTATTTAAGAAAATTGCAATTGATCCCATATGCTTTTATTTTATGAAATAGTCTACGACAAGAAACTTTATCAAACGCTTTCGCGAAATTAAAAAATACAATTTTGACAAAATTTCTTTTACTTAAGGCTTTCGTAATGTAGTCGACACTTTCCTAATAGTTTGACGTGCATCCCTTTTTGAACATAAATCCATGTTGATTATGTGAGGTGCAGCTTGTTTTTTCAAGATATTTTGTTATCTGTTCTCTGATAATCTTTTCCATTATTTTACATGAAACTGACGTAATAAACACTGGTTTGTAATTAGCGGCATCACGACGATTTCCTTTTTTAAACAAAGGTGTGACTGCTTTTAAACAAAGGTGTGACTGCTACCAAGCTGTAGGTGTTGAGCCTTCAGACAGTGTTTTATTGTAAAACAAACAAGAGGGTAAGTCATTTTAGATGCACCAATAGATTAATTCGGTTTCAAACTTTTCAAATTAGTTAGCGTCGCTTTAAAATTAATAATTGTATTGCTTAAGTCTTCTTGATAATGCCTTCTTTCAAAAACAGGTAACTGACTACTTTTACTAACATAAGTCTGTTTGCGATATGTATTCCCTCTGTTAATGTTTCATCTTTTGCATCAGATATAGCACTAATAGATACATAAAATTATGTTGCATCTAATCATAACCATACACCCTTTCAGGATTATTTTTTTAATGCTTTCTGAACTTGGCTTCTTAGTTTCCTATATTATCGAATCAGTGTCGCTGATCGCCAGTTTGTCTCAGATAAGTAATTGCCCAATTGTTTTTTGTTTTTGTTTTTTGCTTTATTATAGCTAATACTTCTTTATTCATTTACGGTGCATTACGAGTAGTATGGACTTTTTTGTTGGGATAAATTGCTTGCTGAGTTTATCATATTTATTGCAGAAAGTTGATGGCACTCATTAGTATTCTTAATTTCAAATAACTTCTGCCAGTTAATTTCAATAATCTTTTCACCAAAACTTACATAGTCATATTAACGGTTTGAGAAAATATTCTTATTTATAGAAAAGACGACATAATCTAAACTCAATATGCCATGACCTTGCGACGAATCACCTAACGGCGAAATGCTAGATAAGTTGATTACTTTAGTTAAAAAGTCTGTAATAATTAAATACAAAATGTTTTTTTTTTCCTTAAATGCTTCAAATGTTGAGAAGTCAACTAATTGTTCTAGATTATAATTAGCCAAATCAAGAAAAACACTTGCCGCACTTATTTTGATCGCTTAGTAAATCAATCCTGTCGTCATCGTGCCATTTGATATCCGGAAAGTTGAAATCATCTGCTAGTAACATACAACTATACGCTTTTCTATCAAAAGCTTGCTTAGCCAAAATAATTATTTTATTTATATCTTTTATATGCGATAAAGGTGGTCTATAGACAAAAGTAATAAAAACAATTTTGTTACCAATTTTAATTTCACACCATATTTGCCCGGAGTTGCTGTTGTATAAGGTCTCTCTTAGATAACAATCAGATACTCATTCGCAGCTTGATCACGTTTGATGTAGATAATAACATCTCCATCGTGACCTATTCAATTTTTATTTACTAGTGAGTAGTTATTCAATTGAGTGGAAGATGTTTCAGTAAACCATTACTCAGAAATAAGGATTAAGTCATGCATGTTTATGTCACAGAGATGATTCGTTCATTTAAACTAGATTTATAGAAGTTGCATTAGTATAAAAACATTTTAAAAAGTATTTTTAGTAATAGAATTATCAGCTATTATTTTTGTATTTAATGCTTTTAAACAAGTATTCGCAGGTAAACATTTTGATTTATTGTGCTTTTGCAAATCTGGCTGTTTGTGCATCTCTTCATTTGATGATAGGATGCTATTTATGCCTATTGATTTCAACTTTCTGTGAAACATCAAGGCATCTCAATTTATTGCTGCAAATGACCAAATTAAAAGGCTTGTTAAAGTTTTTAAGCTTGCCAAGGTCAGAATTAGCTGCTTTTCTTTCTGAGTTTAATTTATTGAATTCGCATTGTTCTTCTGCTGTGTTGTCAGGGGTTATAAATTCATCAAAAGTGGCCAATACCTATTGTTTAGCCGACACTAAATTAGCAAATAATAGTCCGGTCTATAAAAAAAGGTGATAAACTACTTCCTGAAAACTATCGACCTATTTCACAAACCTCGGTAACGTACAAAATCTCTGAAAAAGTTGTAAAGAATAAAATTTTGAAGCCCATCAACAATAACATTCTGCTCTCTACAAATCAACATGGCTTTCTTCATCATAAACTTTGAGTAACCAATCTAATAGTGACTTTTGATATTATTTTGTCTTCCCTAGCATTGCACCAGTTTATAGATGTAATCTACCTCGACTTTGCTAAAGCTTTTAATTCCGTATCTCACAACAGACTAAAATTAAAATCATTCTGAAAAACGGCTAACTACTACATTAGATTAATTGCTTTTTAGTAAGTATAAAGTAACGCGTTACAATTAACAATACTAGCTCTGTCTCGGTTGATGATCTTAGTGGCGTTCCTCAAGGTTCTGTTCTCGGTCTGCTCCTCTTTATTCTTTTTACAAATGATCTTGCCCAACTTACTGAAGCTTCTAAAATATTTGCCGACGATACTAAACTGTTTTCCAAAAATTTATCGCACACTAGTTTTGTTGATCTGCAGGATCAAGTACGCTTTGTACACGAGTGGTCAAACACTTGGTTACTTAAATTAAATATTTCAAAATGCTGTATTATTTATTATGGTAAAACTAATCCTATGTACTTTTTGCAAAACAAGGCTAAGAATCTCTACTAAAAAGCGTGATTTAAAAAGCGTGATTTAAAAAGCGTGATTTAAGAAGCGTGATTTAAAAAGCGTGATTTAAAAAGCGTGATTTAAAAAGCGTGATTTAAAAAGCGTGATTTAAAAAGCGTGATTTAAAAAGCGTGATTTAAAAAGCGTGATTTAAAAAGCGTGATTTAAAAAGCGTGATTTAAAAAGCGTGATTTAAAAAGCGTGATTTAAAAAGCGTGATTTAAGAAGCGTGATTTAAAAAGCGTGATTTAAAAAGCGTGATTT